TTATTCCAGCTTGCGGGACTGGCCTAGGGGAAAATTTTTAGAGGGGTTTTAAAATAATTTTAATTAGACCAACTATTAATATTTGCCTTTTAATTAAGTTTTAAATTTGTAGTTTGATATTTTGTATTTTTATCTGGTTGTTAGCCGCCCTGAGTCCGTAAGGAGAAGGGCGGGATATAAATATAAATAAATAAATAAAATAAATAAACATATTTACAAACCACCCTGTCTTTTCTCCCTGTCAGGCGATGGCCATCATTAGCGGCTCTTTGTACGTGTTTGGAGGAACGACCGGCTATATCTACAGCACAGACCTGCATAAGCTGGACCTCAACACCAGGGAGTGGACACAGCTCAAGCCAAACAACCTGCACTGTGATATGCCAGAGGAAAGGTCAGCTGGGCCAAAATCCGCGGTCTGGGGGCTTCCTTGTGCCCAAAATGTCTCCTGGAAGACACAACAAGGGACCCCTTCTTTTTTTTAAAAAAAAAAAACCCTCATGGCGGACGGTTGAAACCAGTTATATATTTTCAACAAAACCACGAGTAATGTCATTTACAGCAGTGGCCAAAATTGTGGAAACCTTTTGGGAAAAGTGTACTTTTGAGGTTTGATGGCTAATAACAGCACTTTTTTTCTGGAGCAGTATGATAAAATTATATATCAATGAAAAGATAATTTAATCGAGAATGTAATGCCATAGAGTTTGTTCAATTATCTGTACTGTGTTCTGTGAAAAGTTACAGCCAAATAACCAGAAAAAGGAAGCACAATTTGCTTAGGTTGATCTCAGGTAGCTTTCCTTCTTCTGATTGTAGCCAATGAGTGTTTAGAGAGCCAATCAGGTGTCATCTTGTTTTGGCCACGAACCAATCAGATCACAGTAGGATCCAGGTATTGATGTCTTGTATTGAAGCTGAGAGGAAGACATTTGTCAGTGTGTTGTGTGATCATTATCAAGTTGGTTGGGCTTTTTGGTGTTCTTTCATTTAGTGAGCTTGTTAAATGTAATAAAATTAAAGTCATGGTGCAAAGAGTTGACTGGTTGCCCAGAAAGCGATGTAAAATAGTATTTATTAAGTGAACCAGGCTACAGTTATAAAGAAATTAGAAGAAAAATGGGCGGAAACTTAACCAAAAGTGGCATTTCTACTGTACACTTTTCCCAAAAGGTTTCCACCATTTTGGCCACTACTGTATCTACCCATTTTATTGATTACATTTATAGGTCTCCAGTCTCACTATCAAGGGACCATTTAAAAAAGAAAACTAGACCACAGCATGCCAGCCCCCATCCTCTATTATCTGCGGAGTTTGCCCAAATTCATGCTCGTTGCATCGATAACTTTCTCACACTCTGCTGTCTTCTCCTCCTCCTCCTCCTTTCGCCTTCCATCGTTCCAGGTGTCAGTCTTTTTCCGAGGAGTCCTCATTTGGTGGCCAAAGTCTTTTGAGCCTCGGCTTCAGGATCTGTCCTTCCAAAGAACAGCCAGGGTTGATTTCCTTTAGGATCAGCCGGTTGGATAAATCAAGATCTATTGAATGAGGGGTCCTTAGTGCTCTCTCAGCTCTGGGAGAGCACCAAGGATCCCTTGTTTCAACGCGACAGAGGTTCTCCTTTCTTAGATCCATACAGTATTATTAAATTTTGATATTGTCTCTGGCTCTGTCCTTTCAGATACAGACACGAAATCGCGCACGATGGGCAGAGAATTTACATCTTGGGAGGTGGGACTTCTTGGACGGCCTACTCCTTGGAGAAGGTGATGTGTTTAAAGCCTTCCTTCCTTCCTTCCTTCCTTCTTTCTCTCTTTCTTTCTTTCTTCTTCTTTTTCTTCCTTCCTTCTCTTTCTTTCTTCCTTTCTTCTTCTTTCTTTCTTTCTTTCTTCCTTTCTTTTTTCTTTCTTTCTTTCTTCCTTCCTTCCTTCCTCTCATTCCCATCTTCCGTCTTTCTCATTCCCATCTTCCTTCTTTCCTTCTCATTCCCATCTTCCTTCTTTCCTTCTCATTCCCATCTCCTTATTCCCATCTTTCTTCCTTCCTTCCTTCCTCTCATTCCCATCTTCCTTCTTTCCTTCTTATTCCCATCTTCCTTCCTTCCTTCCTTCCTCTCATTCCCATCTTCCTTCTTTCCTTCTCATTCCCATCTTCCTTCCTTCCTTCCTTCCTTCCTTCCTTCCTTCCTTCCTTCCTTCCTTCCTTCCTTCTTGCTTTCCTATAGCCGCCCAACCACTGCAACTGTTGTAAATACGAGTCAGTGGCCAAGCGTCTGAATTTTGATTGTGTGAGTATGGGAATTTTGATTGTGTAAATAATGAAAAACTGTCTTAAGTCAGTCAATCCATCAGAATAGAACTGGAAGGGACCTTGGAGGTCTTCTAGTCTGACCCCCTGCTCCAGCAGGAGACTTTATACCATTTCAGACAAATGGTTGTCCAGTCTCTTCTTAAAAACCTCCAGTGATGAAGCACCCATGCTTCTGGAGTCAGGCTGTTCCACTGGTTAATTGTCCTCACTGTCAGAGAGTTTCTCCTTAATTCCAGGTTGCTTCTC